ATTAACAAATAAAGAAATAAAATAATAGTGTGGAAGAAAAGTTTCGAGAGTTTTTAAATGCAAAATAATTACTTTAATTGGACAAGGTTTAACTTAAAAAATTGTATTCTGTAATATGTACTCGTAGTTACCGTTAAATGTTAGTTGATAGTTTCAAAATAATTTCAGGTTGAATACATGTCTATTCCCTTTATTCAAAATTCAAAAATTTGTTTTATAACTATTCTTGAAAATGGAACATTTTAATTCATTTATATAGGGCGATATAAAAAAAGTAAGTCAGGGTTATACACATACTGTTTGGGGCGAAATTAACCCTTATCAAATTTTTAATTTATATTTTTTAGGATATTAGAGTTAAGTTATAATTTAGAAAAAGATTATTATTAACAGTTCCTTATTGTGAACGACATTCAATTGAAATTTTGACAGACTTTCATTCTATGTCAGCAAACTATTTCTGTAATCTTCATTAAAAAACTTTATATGTGAACAGATAAAAGGAGCGATGTATAGTCTGTTTGGAAATGAAAGAGAGTAATAAAACCCCAAGATAAGAACCGGCCATGGGCGTGGTAATACTTCGTTTCAGGTAATTATCGGGTAACACTAATGCTAACAGGTAATGGGTGTACATTAGTATATTTTACTGGATACATCATAGGGCAGGAGCCAGTGTATTATGACAGATCAATCCAGTCTTAGAGCTGAATATACGAAGACGTGCTAGTGCAGTAGAGTAAAATTCGACTTGTGTTTAGTGACTATTATGCCAGTGGATATAATATTGTTTGGGTAAAATGTCGAGTTTATCAGATTACGTCTGCTTGGAGGAAAGCCGATATAATTCAATGGTTATCCGGAAAAAACATTTCTTTTGAAACAAATATGGTGAAAAAGGAACTTTTGACACTTGTCAATCTTAATAAAGATCAGAAAAAATATGTTATCGATGAAATGGCAACAAATCGCCAAATAACGGTTACCACCTTATCACTGTGAACTTAACTCAATCGAATTAGTCTGGGCGCAGGTAAAAGGAGATGTAGCGTGAAATAATACGACGTTTAAATTAAGTGACGTGAAAATTTTGTTAAAAAATTCCTTGGAACGAGTAACTGCAGACAACTGGCAAAGATGTATAGGCACATCACGTACAAATAGAAGAGGAGAAAATGTGGGAACTCGATAATTTAATTGACGTTACTGTGGAACCTATCGTTATCAATCTAGGAGACGAAGATAATTCATCAGAATATTCAGAGGATGAATTTTGATATACCTACTTTTTTATTTTCTTTATTGTACATTTATACAACACTACATTTACTCACCATAATTTAAATTTTCAAAATACATATATTTTTTTATGGAATAAAAGTCTATTCATTAAATTTAAATAAATATTTTGATAATAATATTGAATAATTTTATTTGAATTACTAAAAACCCTCTTAACCCGGTTATGATGCTTAAAGTAGCTTCATGTTTTGAAATGCTGTTTTTATATTGTTTACTTATAAGAGAAATGGACTGAGAAATTGAAGCGGCATAGACAAAGACGGATTGTCGGGGATTAAATTTTAGCTACCTGCTACAATTTAGTACAGGCCGATCGCATAAAGTTTTGTTAAAAGTACGCCTCATCTATACCGATAATACATAATATAAAAATATTGAATATAAGCACCAGTACTACATTTATTTACGATTTGCATACATAATAAGCTTTTATTACTCTCGTTTCATTTCTAAACAGACTATAGTCGACATTAACCTTATTTTGGCATGAAGAATTTGTAAACTAAAATAAATGTGTAGCTAGTTTTTTTATAATAATTTTGTTTGTTTTCAAAAAGAAATGTTTCAATTTTAAAATTAAAAATAAAATTCGTACATATTTCTTCCCTTTCTCTCTTATCTGATTCGTGGTGATAAAAATAAAACTATTATTGTTATAAGTTATAATTATTACGTTGATTCAAAATTCAGTACAAAGAATTTAGGGACGTATTTTTGAGGTGGTCAAAATAAGACTTTGTTTTCCTATGAACGTGGGTCCACAAATGCTTAGTTTTCGATATACAGGGTGTTAAAGATTTTCGATTTTTTAGGAATAATTTTCAAACAAATTTGAATACTGGTATACAACTTGGGGTACGGGAGTTTTTTAAGATGCCAAATTTAAATATGTCATCGCTTTTAACGCTGCTTCCGAGCTATTGGCTGATGAAGAGTTAAATGCGTATTTTCAAATTTTATTAACTACTTACTCTAAAAAAAATTTAAAATTTATTTTCACCATCTAATCAGTAATGCAATGATCTTGAATTTTAGCTCTACATTTTTTTCATACAACTAATTGTTTTCGAAAAAATCAGTGCTGACTAAACGATGGTATTGTCATTATCAAAATACACAGAGAAAAAAAACATAATAAGCTATGACTGCTTAGTTTGACAACTATTGTTAGAGGTCTTCTGTCAAAATTGTTGAAATCTAAGACTCATGGGAACGATACAGGTAGAAAACAGATTATTACCAAAAAAAAAACAAAATAAAAAAATATCCAAATTTATTGAACCTTAAAAATAATTTGATCGAAAATATATATCATATCACCAATTTTCTTTTCCATAAAATGAATTAGTAATAGATAATACTTAATAATGTAACTAATGTAATGTAAACTAATGTAACTAATAATGTGCTAATACTTATTATTTGATACAAATTTATGTAACTGTTCGAGGAATATCACTGAATAATAGTTAAAATAAAACGTTATGAAATTGCTCACAAAATTCCAGTTTATGTTACTTAAAAAAATATTATGGATGCAGACTATATTACAACAGTTTTAATTACTGAAATTCTAGATTTTCTTAATGCTGTTTGACTTTCTGTTTGTATATGTATAACCATTATCTTTGTTGATTTCGTAGCAATGCAGTTGAAAGAAATATTCCATAGGAAGGAAATCCATACTTGTATATTCAATGTTTATTTTTAGATGTGATTTAATTAAATGTTTGTTTACACTAGAGTAAATAAATAACCCACTGCATCATGATAATGTTTATATTTATGAGTAATGTAATGATTTCTTAGAACGTAATTTAATAATATATTGATTACATTACAATAATAATATTTTAGGAAGAAAACATGTTATTATTTTGTTATTCATGGATATTTTTCTAAATATAGCTAACTAATAACTACTGAAGTCGATTTTCTATGTTTACACTGCTATTGCTGTTGTTAGTTTTCTAATAATTATAAAATTTCGGGACGCACTAAGCTTGAACGACATCAAAGAAACATGCATGCCACCATAAAATTTCTAGACTGTAAATAAAAATAAACATGACTACCCTATACTCCTATAATGAATGGAATTATTTCCTGGCAACTTGGCTTGTGTAGTAATTTGCCACTAAATCGCGTGTACATTGTTGTAACGCTCATAAAAGAACGGATATAACTATGAAATGAATTCAAATTTATTCAGGGTGTAATTTCACGTGTAGCCATATAAAAATTTTATAAATAGAAATTATGTCAGACGTTATTATGCAAATCGGACACTGTTTACTATATTTTCAAACAAAAATGTTGCAAATATAATCAATTTTATAAGAGTAACAACTGGTTAGAAAATCGTAGTTTAGAAGATGTTTCATATAATCTTTTCTAGTCAGTTATCTCGAAAATTAAATAAGATATATATGTTATGTAAAAAACAATGTAAATATAATTTTTACAATTTCATAAAATTATGACTTGGGTTCAAAGATAAGAAGTTGCGCTAATTTTTGTCCAATAATATTTTCCTTAATATATTTTTATGACTTACTAATCTGTATTTAAACAATTGTGTCATTATAATTTACAATAGCAATGCAATTAAAATAAAATATTCTACTTCCCCATGTGCGTTTAAAAACGGTGGTAGTGTATTTGAGGAATATTAAATACAAAGCCTTTCTAGACTATTCGATCGTTATTCAAATTTAGTTGCTCCAAAATGTTTACTTGTAAGTACTTGAGAACAATTTTGAAATATGTTTTAAGGTTCAATTTCGAAATGGTTTAACGATATCCATTATAGTTTATTATGTTTCTGCTATATTTCCTTTTAGTATATAGTAAATAGTACAATTTTTTAACATTTTTTTATAAAGCGGTATACTTATATTAGTAAATATATTAACTCTTGTAATAATACAAATATGCCTTTATCGCTAAAATAAGGAAGTCACAATCACTTCCGCCAGATATGAAGACAAGAATTCTATAGCTGCCTAAACTTCTGAAGAGTTATAACAAGCATTTTGCGTTTTTTAATTATAAATTTCGTTCTACGGGTGGTTAGAATAATCAAATTTTCAAATGCGCTATAATAAAAATAAATATATTTTTCAAACTAGATACGTTTTATCTATTCACCCGAGGTCCAAACGAAAATAAATTATTATTTAATTTAGAAAAATATGTCTCGGTGTCCTACTTGCGTAACCATAAGAAATTTTAGGATATGGTGTAAGAGAAAGAACTTTGCCAATAAATAATTAATTTGCAATAATTAAGAAGCAGGATATTCCACTGCATAAATTATTTTTGGATTGCGCGGTGATTATAAATTTTATGATATAAGTACAAAGCGACATTTTAAATAACAAATAAAAAAGAATCCAAAATCTGTGACACTAATTAAAAAGAAATTGAAGAAAGGCAAGTATTAAATATAAATATTATATGATATGAAAAATATTGGTTACAATTAATTTAATTGGTTGAGGTATATTATTATTAATTTCCAGTTTAAGCGGGTGTTTTCATACAGATATAAGCAATTGTTGTTTCAGTAGCAAATCTAAGTATACACTAAGAAAATCGAAAAGGGGTGAATTATTTTGAGACGCAATAAAAACATAAAAAATGGCGGCCACAGCGATCGAAACTCGCCCTCATTGTCTGCTAAGAACATAACTTACCAGTTCCAAAAATTTAATGATCGACAGCCTACTGATAGCCATTTTGGTGGTTTAAGTGCTTCCAAATTCCTACACAAAACCGCACTGAGTTTCCTCACGAAAAACTATAGATCCACAGCGAAACGCGTGACTGTTTACAAACGCTGTGACGCCTTCTACTGAGAGAATTGCGATGGAGTTCCAGCATGAAAAGCTCAAGGAGGTGCAGGTCCGTAATCAGCCCATGTTGTACGAAACCTCTTTGGTGGTTCTAAATATTTTCACATTTTACACGTGGATTTTACACAGAGGGCAGGCATAGGTACTATTGTCGTTAAAACCAGATAATGACCCATATAAGATAGAAACTACAAAACATTATAAATATAGTAATCAAAATACAAGGAATAAAATAAAGTCACGGAGTTGGCTTTTTTCACAACGGTGGAAATATGTTCAGACCAAGTGAGACTGGAATTGATTACTACACCCAAATAATTTTGGTTTTCGACAGTTGTTATAAGTTGACCTTGACCGAAAGTATATGTTGACTTGGGATTATTTTTACCAATATTGGAGCATAATTAAAATAATAAAAAAAATAACAGGGCTTTCAAGGCTTCCTACGAAAATCTTAAAATTAATATATTCTGGGAATGCCAATAATATGATAAAATCCATTAATTCATCAATCAAGATACGTATTTAAAAACTCATCAATGAATATTTTCTAAAGCGCTCTTATAGGTACCATTTCTAGGATACCAGTAAAAAAAAGTATATTCCAGTTTAGATGTTACGAAGATATTAAAGAGAAACAATATACATAATATCCGTAAAGTCCATAGAGCTCCTAATACTCAGCCCCATAAAAAAGTTTTGTACCAGAGACATGAGTATATGGATTTTGTGTATTTATTGACGTTGAACCCGAATCCATAGCCCAAAAAAACGATTTAAGGTAATGGTCCCAAACTTTGACACATTTAGAAGGTTATCTGTGACAAAATATGTGGAAAATTTTTATTTATAGTGCATATAGTTCTCTAACCTTTTTAGTTGTCAAAAGGTAGTTTATTTTTGCAAAATTAAACGCCTAATGGTTTATTTAAAGTTGTCTTATGTAAAAAATTGTAAAAATCTACTACTGATATTGATGTGACACTTATAATAATGTGATAACCCTAATCGTGTCCAGGGTGTCCTTAATTTGAACACATGAGGTTTTATTGTACACTCAAAGACCATAAATTGGACACCATATTACGCGCTAGTATATGCTATGTAAGGACTGTAAATGTGAAAGAAGTCGTTTCAGTTACTGCTGAAGAAAATCCACACAATTATAAGAATAACTGCTACTGAATTTAATGTTTCAAAAATGACTGTCCACAGGATATTAAAAGAACAATAATTATCGAATTATGTCAGACTGTATTTGTGTAAGTTGCTCAAGAATAAACAAACCGGAAACAATGACTTCTACAACATAGTGCTACCTATTTACAAATTTGCGAGCAGAAGAACGTGGCGGTTACTTTCAGCATTTGCTAGAATATTTTGTTTATTTGTGCAATTATGTATTTTTTTATTTGCTTTTGTGTATTATTATGTATTTGTCAATATTTGTTATTTGTATTTTGTTTTATTAAATCTTTAAATAGCTGTTTACTGCTGTAAAATATGATAACAAATTAACTTAGGAAAAGGTAGTTAGGTGACCTTAATTACCTGTTAGAATAAGAAAGTTGTAATTATTATATTATGATTTTGAGGAAACTAAAATTGCTAATTAATCGATACTTAATTGATTACCGTGGATTCCTGGATATGATTTTCTTTATTGTTTGTTAAACTATGACAAATACTGAAATTAATAAGTTTAAGCTTAAAAACTGAATACCTCCCCTTCTCCCCTCCCGTTAAACTACACGCATCTATGATACTGCTGTTGGGAATAAAATAGCTTGGACGTTCTTCTAAGACAGATTTCAAGTACAAAATTTCCAACCCATTTAAAGATAATTGAGAAAACCTAGTATATAGACTATTTTAGTGTGACGTCACATATTTAGACAACTCGCAACAAACTGTTATGGTTGCAATTGTGCAGACCGAATCTGACCCTTCTGTACAATTTTCATAGATACTATAAAAATGAACAACTTCAAATCAATTCATTTTTGCAAGGATTTAGAAGTATTTAAGAACGACCAACACGTGTTTCGTAAAATAGATACCTATAGTGCTTAAAACTTACAAAAAACGAAATAAAAGAAGGTTCTTAAATTTAAATAAAGTAAAAATTTAACATTAGCCATGTTGAAGGTAATTTGTTTGGGAATGGGGTCAGTTTTTTAAAAAAACAGTTTATTGGTTAGTCGACGTTTCGGCTATATTTAAGCCTTCTTCAGGACACAAAAATAATTACAATAAATAAACATACACATCATTATACATATTGACTATTAGGATTAAAACAGATTAAAATTCAATAATATTACAATGATGAAGGATCAAGAACCAATCACAAGGAAACGTTTACGAAAATATAATAACGTAAACGTTTCCTTGTGATTGGTTCTTGTATAGTATGTATCTAATCCTTTAGGACAGGTACAAGTGCATTTGGATATTTGTCCATCACTTAGACAAATCTAAAAGCGTTATAGGTTTAGATAAATATTCCCCACAGGTTTATTGTATGTAAACTAGCACTTTCCCTCGGCTGAATATATATTTTCCTCTCCATACTGGCTTGAACTTCTCCTTTGATAACTGAAAGTTCATCATCATAAAGCATTTTTTGTAAATTACCAGAGGAAACAGAATTTACTCCCTTTTCGATGAGCTTCTTTTCTTCAAAGTATACAAAAATTGCAATCATACTAATTGGTCTTTTACGCATAATAATATATCAAGAATTGTTACAAAACTTAGGAGAAAGAAAGCAAGAAATCACAAAGTTGACATACACGTAACCATAACCAAATTTTTCTTGAATGATATCCTGTTGCGAGGCTACTTTGCTTACATGAAATTATCTTTAATACGCATGCTCAGTAACATTGATATAATTTTAATTTATTAATTACTATAAAAGTAAATATTGTTCTATAAATTTAAATATATAAATTATATAATTCTTTTAGTTTGGCAGTTGGGTTTGGAAACTTCTTAAATATTTCTAATATTGCCAAAATATCGCGATATTTAAGGACATGACAAGGAAGACATTTTATAGCACTTAAATTCAAAGTACCTATACATATAAGGTCGAAAATCGATCTAGGAGATAAATTGAGAAATTCTTTATGATAATGTGCACTATGGGGTTTCCTATTATTTGGCGGATATGACGTCACTACTAAAAAGGTCTATTACTATTTCATTCCACTGAGTCACAATCGCTATAATAGAATTAGTAGAACATACAAATAATAAGTGTAAAGGATTCTATAAAATAAATCTTTATTATTACATTTGTTTTTCTCAAGGTAAAATCCTCAGTTATTTGCTTGTGAAGGTTTTCCGTATTTTGAATAATCTTGAACCTATTTTCCGCTGCATTTATTACGTTTAGATTAAAATTTAATCTTGACGTGATAAAACATTCCCCCGTCAAACCAAACAATATTTCTAATTTTAAATTTGTTTCAAAACTGTTAGTAATGAATTTATCCACTATTTCGAATATTTTTAAATAAATTAATCTGAAGCCTGGCCTGTCCACTGCTACTTCAAAAGGTGCAGGCCCATGACACACATACTATGATGTCACCGTTAAATAAGTTAACCTACGTTATGGACTTGTCTGCTGACGGTTGATGTAACTCAGCAGAAGGTCAATCGCAAGCTTTTGATTGTGGGGCAGATCACGACTGGACTATCGTGGTCTGATTTGCCTCTTGCAAAATATCTAATTTCATTTATGATTGGTATATAAATACTGATGAAACAACTAGTGGTATAAACAAACGGAGTTGTAGTGAACAAGAATGAGTAACTGTTCAGCGTGGTCCCTAGATTGCCGCGATATTTTTAACTGGTTAATTCATACGCTGCTGATTTTTTAATGGGCTACGTCAATACTACTAACTACTAGATAAAAAAATAACTTGGTATTTGTAGCCAAAAACTCTGGAAGCAGGTAAAAACCAACAAATTGTTGTAAACAAATCACAAACTCAAATTTTACAATGATTTTATTTTACAATTAGTTGAATACACCGGGTACAAAAGGTAACGCTCCTTTGCGAGCAAAACTACGAATGTATATGAATCGAATAGCCCCACATGATGGTCCTCGAATTGAGTCAGCGGATTCCAGCTTAACCCAAACAACGATAAACTACGCCAGGGTCGGTCGCTGCTTGAAGCCGTAAGAATCCATAACTCATAGTTTGCAACAAAATTGAAACTGTCAAAAATATTTAAATTAAAATCAAAAATTAAAATAAGCTCAGAACACGAAAACAGATAATTTTGTATTTGTTTGCATTTTTCGGTATGAGATTTTTGGTTAGCAGTTTTTTTCATATAAATAACCCTTAACCGATCCTTTTGTCCCAAGGGTTTATTTTATTAATTTTCTTAATGGCAAAATACCCAATAAATAAAAAAGAAACCCAGTTTAGTTTCCATTAAGAGGTATATTCTAAAATTAATTATATTCAAATTCAAAATATTTTGTAATGGCTATACTGATAAAGATTAAGTAACAAATCTTGATTTATATAGAATTTTTGTATAAGTAGGGTATTTGATAAAAATTTCCGTTTTAAATATATATCTACAACTTAATTTCAATGGGTTTTCCATCAATTAGATTAAAAAGATAAAACTTTGTTGGTTTAAGAATATCATCAATTTATTGTATTAGGGATTGAAAAAGTCCAAACTTAATAAACCCACATATTCTTTCCGAAGGAATTATATGCGCTGAACACGATTCTATAGTCAAAATTCATGACTTCCCGATGGATTTCGGAGAAAAATGAAATTCTTGGGGAAAACTGGTGAAAATATGGATCAAAACTGATATTTTCCTAAACTTTGTCCAAATGTAACATTTTTTTGTAGTATTTTGAGACGCTGAATACGATGTTATCAGAAAAAAACATGGCCAAAAAAAGAGAAATTTTTTCAGTAATTTTTTGATCTTAAAATTAATAAAATCGTAAAAAT